AAAATATAGCTCGACTGATGAATAAATATGATCGAAAATATGTCAATTTCTCTAAAATATATGTTTTGAATGCAAACCTCATCACACTTAAACTCATGTAGTCATAACAATGTTATTAAGTAATACAAAAAGAAAATATGAAGAATAAAATATCTTCTTGGTAGTGTCGTTCATTTCAGTGTTCATCTTGTAGCTGCCTTACAACTCACCTTCATTAAACAGCGTATATAAGAAGATCTGAAATCATGGCACGGAAAATTGCTATCTTAAAGTGTTATCTTGTTAGATTGCTATGCAAGTTTTTATTTACATGTGATACAGGAATTTATAGAAAAATAATAAAAATCTATTTCTTCCAGATTAAAATGTTTATTTACTAGAATAAAGAGTTCTATAATTTCAAGATTTTATATGAAATCTGTTGAACTTATTTGCCACCCCAGGGAGTTATGCATGCAAGTTTCTTCCACCATGGCAGTGGTAGGCCTATACCATAGCAAATACATCGCTGAATTGTACTTCCCGGTGGCAACCATGAACATGTGTTCGGAACTGTCTGACAGCTACCACCCGCTTTGCCCAAGCAAACACACCGATCTTGGCACGATTGCCACAGAAAGCCAGTTAAGCCTGATGATGTTGGTGTGCATCGACTCCAATCATCGAAGCAATCGCCTTGGATCTGTTCCACGAGCAGCATCACTAATAAGCCAACAATCGCCATCGAGAAAAGTTTATATAAGCTAGCCATGCTGTTTTGGTATTCGTTTTAATTTACCTATGTAGCGACTATTGACTTTATATACTGATAAGTTTTGGGACTTTCCTCTATTTCCTTTTCTTTTCGCCTTCTCTCTCTTATCAAATCGTAATTATGTCATAAATGAGTAAGACTTGTAGAGTCATTACATTTAGTCATTAGAATATAAAATATAGATGTCTTCTGACGTCAATAATAGATTGATCACTAAAATATGTCCAAGAAATGAAGCAATATGCCCGAAAAATGATTAAATATTATTGCGTTATATTAATTAAAGGTTGAAGCATAAATGAAAATAGCTATTCTTTTTAATCTAAGGAACAACAATCGATTGTCAAGATAATTTAAATCAAATACTTTACTACTGATTTTTTTCTTCATACTTCGATAATGATTATACAGTTTGCAATCAAATTCTCGTCCCTATTGGAATGTCGACTCTTTAAATTTTATTCCAATTATAGAGTTCGAATGCATACATACAGTAATTACACAGATATCTACAATACATATGGTATTTTTAGCTGCCTATTTCTTCTTTGAACAAGGAAGAAATATGAGAAATTCTGACTGAGTGCCAAAAGTGCTCAATCGTATTGAATTTAGGTGAATGAGATGAATAGTCTAGCGCTTTAATTTGACAGTTTGCATCTGTTCAATATGATATTAATTTATCTTGACTTAAGCCATTGGACAGATTAGAAGATCAGAAAAAATTCTATTCTGTCAGTGAGGACTGTGATATTTTTCGGTATCCTCAAGAAGTTGTTATTAGGGGAGGATGGATGTGAGATAAACATGAGCGAAACTGATGTATTTTTAGCACCAGTTACTGGTCTGCTCTTTCAATCATATTTTTCATTCTTGGTCCTGAACTAATTCACAGAAAAATTTTAATTTGGATTCTAGTACTGATCGTACATTTGACAAAATTATGAAGGAATACATATTAAAACTGCTGCTGTTAAATATATTTATCTCAAACTTTGAGACGTCTATAATTTAAAACGTAAAGGGTAAAAAATCATGTTAAATGTCATCCGTTAGCAGATAATTTTGAAATAGCGATATTAACATTGAAAGACGTGATAGAACTCAACAAAAAACGATCGACCACCTGATGGGATAAATTTATGATTTTTACTTTTTTTTGACATTATAGGATGTTACTTTATCGATGGACTGCATACTTCTTTTCAGATGATGCAATAAATAATAATTTTCATAATGCAATTATAAAAGCAAGCACGAGCAACAGAGCGATAAAACAAGCACTATTTCTCTCATCTCGAATAGTGAAGTAAATGAGTAATAATATGTTGCGTTTGCACTTATTAATTTTTGCTATTTATAGAAAAAGAAGTGTGATATCATACCTATCGTTTTTATGAATCATTTATTAGGGATGTCATTTTTCGATTACGTTTAAACAAATTTGAATTATCAGTAGTTCAAGATCTCAAATAAGTTAAAATTATTTGTTGCATAGTTTAAATACAAAAATAAAATAAAATTATCGTATGTTAAATTTGTTATAAATTTAGACTGTTGTCATTTTTTGATTACAATATTGAAATTAAATCAAATCATTGGTCAAAACCAACTGAACTCGACACTGTGTAAACTCAAAATTTCGAGCTCATTTTTCTCGAGTGCAAATTTTACCTAAACTCTTGCGTCCTTGAATTCATCTTTTGTAACAATTCAAGGGATCATTCTCGAGTGGCAATGTGGACATCTGTCTTCAACTACTTTAAGTCTACGTGAACATCACAACAGTAACTTTTCGAAGGTTGTCTAGGAGTGGTTCGTATAACTTTTCAGAGAATATTTAGCGGTGATCCTCGTAACTTTTCTTGAGCTATTTAGAGATAATTGTTTTAATTTTTCGGAACCTATTTTCAGTTGACTTCATAACCTTTAGAAACCTACCCGAGATGGTCTCCGTAAGTTTTGAAGGTCTATCCAGGAATGATCCTTATTCCTTAATAGGGCCTACCTAGGAGTAGTCGCAAAAACTTATTGAAGCCTCCTTTAGAATGGTGTCTATAAGCTTGTCAGAACTATTTAGATGCGGTCCATATAACATTTTTAGGCATACCGAGAAGTAGCGTCAAAACTTCTCAGAAAATAGCTCGAAAGGATACGTTTAAGTTTTCAACTAAACTATTGATATTTTAGAGCGCTTTGTTCTCAAGATACCATCATTCAAACTAGCATAAGACTTCTTCAGATAGGCTTTCCCTGACGGTGTGCATGCTAATGTGAGTGTATTTAGGACGATATTTTAAATGGCATGTTTTCCGATGACATTATCTCTTTTACTATTTGTGATATAAATCTCTGAAACAAGATAATTAAAATTTCGAAATTGATTAGTATTCTTTAAGAAGTTTTAATGAGCTATGTATTTATTACATGTAGCGTGACACAATTATACAAAGCGATATGTAGTAGCCGGGATATGAGTGTGGCTGCCCTCTGTGCCTACATCCTGATTATCACGTTGTTTTTGTTTACATCACAATTATTTAAAGAGATAATGTCATCAGAAAAAAATGCCATTTCAAACATCACCCTAAGTATTTGAAGCTCATATAGATGTATTTGGATACGTATCACTTTTTATTCACATATAAACTAATATTGGTCAGGGCCTAGAACTTACAAAATACAATTGATGTATGATTGTAAACATGAATGTCCCGCGAGGCTGACCTTTCTATTCCATCTTGTAAAAGTTTTCTTTTTTCTAGAGCAGGATACCAGCGTATTATTGTTCTTTTTTTGTTCATCAATTCCCAAAGGAGAGGCGATCAATCCGTTGTTTTTTTTGGAATCGATTTCATCACTAATTTCTAAAAAACTCTGAACCCTCTTCAGCAATGCTGGTGACCTCAATATATCCCTATTCTGACATAATAATAGAAAGATTTGTTTTTCGATTATCAAAAGACAACTGATGCGTTGTTTAAACGCACAAGTAAATAAATGAAAAAAAAGACGAAGAAGAGTAGCTTGTTACTTCTTTTTTTTTGTTGTATCTCTGATATTCTTTCACAGTATCTAGTAAGTAAACGAGGACAAAAATGGACAAAAGAACGCATTTTTTATTCTCTTACTGTGCCTGTTTTCTACTTTTAAAGAATAAAAAAGAAAGAATACAAAACCAGATCAAAGAAAACAAGTACGAGAGTTTTTTTTTTTTTGTTTTTATTGAAGAACACATACAAAGAAAATGTTTATAAGTCCTATTTTTATCCTATTATCTTCTTTAACAATTATTAATTTATTTTCATATCCATCCCATGTATTTGTAAACCAACTGATATCGGTGCTGCTGGTTTTATATGAATGACCTATTTTATTAATTGTTCAAATATATTTTTAAATAATCAGCAACTTATTTATGAAGTATCAACAATGGCCAATAAATGAAGATAAAATTACTGATGATCAGGGTTGCCACCTCTTCCGCTTTTTGTGGAAAGTTTCCGCTTTTTTCGGATAAAAGACTTTCATTTGGTTATTCACAATTCGGCATAGAAAAAAACCTGTTATTGTTCATTAATTTGTGATCACTAAGGTATATAGTCTGTGATCACAGTTATTAGTCAATCTGTTAACTTACTGAAACAATATGAAATTTTTTTCTATGAACGAGAGACTCTTTTCAACTTCTATTGATGAAGTAAAAACATCATTCTACTTTCAACTAATAGCTAACGCTGTTGACTCATTTGTTTTTCTCTTCTTTATTGACACAGAAAAAAGGTACAACTCCGAAAATTTAAAAGCCTTTTTTGTAACAGATGCATAACGAGATAATAACTGAGGATGAAAACAATAATGAAAATCGAAAACAGCAACAATAATGCTATGATCAGATGAATATATAGCTGTAGAAACCACAAAGGATGCTTGTAGATCCGAGAATTATCTTCATTCACATCGACATCTACATCATAAAACTATACAAAATTCAAAAAGCCAGAAAAAATGTAGGTTTCCGCTTTTTCCACATCGTAAGATGACAACCCTGGACCTAATCCATGCTTTTCTATCTAAAAAAAATTCGACCCATGAATCAGTCTAAGTTCAGCTCATTGAAGGCTTTCCTCGTTAACAGTACAAGTATAGCAAAGTTCGATATTTATTAAATCAATAAAAATTGAATAAAAATTAATTTATAAGAAAATGTTTATAAAAATCTGACATCACCGAGTAAAATCACCATTTATTTCTCTGATACATTAACAGTTGTTTTTTTCATTTTTTCAACTAAAGTTTCAATCGCTTGTTGTCGAGCTTCATAATATCGTTGTCGTCGAAGTTCTTTATATTGTTCAATACGATCATTTTCAAGTGTTGTATCACTTAATACATTATCCCAACGAAGAGAAGAGACATTAGCTGGTGTAAATTGATTCAAGTCAGATTCATTTACTAAATAGATGATAAATTCAATTGTATAGGAAAAAAACAAGATAATAATAGCAAATACAAACCATTACAAAGATTTTTCTTCGAATTTTTTGTATCATTTTTTTCTGTTATTCGTCGTTTTGATTTTGATGTTTGTTTAAGAGGTCGTTTTTTATGTGAACGTTTTTTATATGGTTCAGTATTATTTCCACCGATCGGCATGATACTATTTTTTTATTTTTGTTGTTGTTGCGATTACCTGACAGAAAACAATCATCTATCTAGAAGAAATAGAAGTTCTTCTTATAGTTTTTTTTTCTTATTTTAATTTGATTTTAAATAACAAAAACAAAACAAAAACTTTTTGTTTTTCTTGAATCAAGTTTTTTTTCGACCATGTAAACGTTTCATGGTATTTCGTTCACGTTTTTTCTCTAAAAATTCATCAATTTTATCTTTTTTCTTATTAGATCTAGTTGTTGTTAATTCAAGACCACTTCCGAATTCCGATATATGACTAAAATTACGAAAACGTTGTCGAGGTTTAATATTATTTGATAGTGATGAACGATCAAAATGATCCTTTTTTTCGATGTTTAAGAATGATTTTGATTCTTCATCTTCTTTTTTATCATTGATTTCCATTGTTTCATTTCTATATAATGGAAAAAGAGAATATCTAACAGGATAAGAACAATGTTTTAATTTACTCATTTGATGTTGTTGATTTATTTGTTTTTGCTAATGAAGCAAATGTTCCTTTTCGTTCATTAATTGTATGATTATTTGTTTCATCTGGTAATTGTTTTAAACCAAAACTTTTAGCAACATGACCACGATGAAGATTTTTTACATGAAATAAATATTTCCATTCGCGAGAAAATGATGCATAATATCGAATAAATGAAAGATAAGCTTAAAAAAATGAATTTAAGAAATAAATAAGAGAATATAAATTAATAAACCTTGTCGAGCTTGTTCAATACGTTCTTCAGATCCATTGACATATTCTTCGAAATGATGATGTAGAGAACTTGCACATTGTTCAGCTGTTTTTGGAATGACAGTCTAAAGTTTGAGAAGAAAAATAATATATCAAAACAAAATCAAAGTAAACTTCAATCGAAATACATTTAGAAAAATTCTATTTAGCAAGACTTAGTCATGTATATGCTAATTCTCTAACAATATCTCATGTTATTGCATTTCTTCTGACAAAAGGTAATTTTTATATAAAATATGTTGTCATTTTTATTGTATAATACAATTAACATATAAATGTGAACCTTATTAATCGTCGTATAAGGTTTCATCCAGTTAAACATGACTTACAATATCTATAGTTTTACCAAAGCCATAGTAGATAAGAAAAGATATATGATTAATTTTTCATTACGGATATTAAGGTAATTATAGCTAGGAAGAAATGACTTTGTCGTTGATTTTAAGTAAAATCAATACTTCGATTTTAGTGGAACTAGAATAAAGTTGGACTATGCCAAAAAAAAAATAAATTCTCTCACAATGTAATTTTGTACACATGTCTCAAGGTAACATATGCCAATAGATACACAGACAGCATCAGACATCAATATACATTATCATTTCAAAAAGAAAAGTTGTGATAGAACAGCTGTGCATCAAAAAAAATGAAAATAACACAATGAAATGAAAGAACGAAGAGATTGAGAACGATGGAACAGATCATAACAATTAAGAAAAGAACAATGTCTGACAACAGGTTATACAACTAGTAAATCAATCAACATCAGTTGTCTCCTTTTATTGTAAAAACAAGACAAATCCAATAATTTCTCGTCCAGCAAATAAAATTAATATATTTCGATAATTAAATTATGAAGATTTTGCTTTCTTAGTTACTTTAATACAAATCAAAAAAGACTTACTCGAGTTTCGAAGTGTTGTTTTAACTTATCACAACTGGATAAAAGTGTTTCAAGAATATCATCAGGTGCAATACTTTTCAAACTAAAATAAATAAAAAAAAAAAACCATCATATCTTCCTTTTTCAGAATAGAGAAATAACTATTTTTTTTTAATTGTCAGATCAAAAGACAAAGTATTGATCATTCATTCGCTCAATATTCTATAGTTTATAGAAACTATTGTAGAACATTCTGCATAGTATATGCAATGCATCATTGATATTCAGAATATTTTGAATATTTACTAAACTTTTTGATGTTAATATAAAAATTAATAATTTTTTTTTTTATTGGTGACATAATTTACCGCTTTCCTTTGAAAAATGTTCACTTCTTTTCTATCATAGATCTATTTTTAATTAACAGTTTTTACCTCATTTTATATTTCTCTTGCAATGTTGTTACATATTCTGCTTCGTTTGGTAAAAGAAAGATTAACGAACGACCAATTGAACCTAATAAAACATGATATTATTAAATGAAAACAACAAAAGCTATTAAAAAAAGTCACTGTGGGATTAAAATGTGAAACACGATGGATCTGTATAAATTGTCAATCAAACGATGTTGCAACATATACTCTAGTCTCTGACTTCGAATCTATTGATATGTCAACGGTGAAAGATGTTATTCTTAATCCATTACAATGAGTTTGAAAACGGAATTCAGGTCATATATCTTAAATTTAATCCTTTTTCATAAAAATACTACAAAATGCTTTAATACCATGGCTTACAAGGGTAAATAGAATACTTGTTAATAGCTCTATCTTGTGGAGTTATAATCATGTTACTAAATTTCCAATCTATGACGGAATATTACGAGAGAAACTGAATCAATGAATTTTAGTCTGAAAGTTTATCGAGATATAAATCTTATGATCCTTGTAATATACAAAAAAATTTTTGGTGAAAAATGAAATTTCTCGATTCGTTTTCCCTCGTAATATCATACAATAGACTGGAAATTCCATAAAATGATCAAAACTCAAGAAAAAAAAACACTAGTGACACAGATCCTCTGAGGACTTTTATCGGCATCATACGACCTAACTACTAACATAATGAGAGTTCGAATGATGTTTATCACTTGGAAGAGTTTGCTCCTTAGACGGTTACAGACTATGAGGGATGAAGCGTTGCTAAGATGTTTGTCACAGTGTGTTATATGTTCATGTCGAAGTCTGTCACAGTCAGTGATGTCTACACCAATAGGATTAGTAACGGGTCAGAACCTATCAGTCTTTTTGTTACCACAGTCTTATGCCACAAAAACATTGATATTTTCTGACTCTTTACTGGGACGGGCACATCTATATCTACCACAATCTGTGAACGACGGAGATAGGTTCGAATTGCTGCTTTTATATTTTAAGACTCGTTTTAGATCGTGTTTCACACAATTTCTGAAAACAAACCAAGTCGAGCTGTTCGACCAATTCGATGAATATAATCAATAGGACTTGTTGGATGATATTGTATAATCCATGTAACGCTTGGCAAATCAAGACCACGTGCAGCAACATTTGTGCATAGTAGAATTCCTCGGGTTAATTTAGAAAATTCATTGAAAACACTTGTACGTTCCTAAGAAAAATCAAAAATACATATTTAATTCTTTTTATAGAGAAAAAAAACAAACAAACTTGATGTGTCATGTCTCCTTGTAATCTTAATAATTTAACTGATTGATCTAATAAATGTCCGAATTGTAAATCTCCTTGTTCATCAATATCATCATCTTTTTCACCATTTAATATAGTATTTATAACGTCATAATGAAAACGAACAAGATCATTTGTTGCCAAAAATAAAAGTACTTTTGCTTTTTTCTTATCCTTTTGTGTTCAGAAAGAAAACAAAACATAAATACAAAAATGTAAAGTCATAAACGTGATATTACTTACATTATTATTAAAAATTTTTAATAAAAATGCAATTAATGTAACAAAACGTAATTTACTTGGTACAATAGTAAACATTTGTTTTAATGTTTTCGGTACAGTTATAACACTTTCATCGTTAAACTCTTCTGAGATATCAATACGAAGTGAGTTTTTATTTAAATTTATATCAACAAACTCATTTAAAGCTATACAAAAAAAAGATAAAAGTAAATTATTATTATCATCCCTGCAGGATTAAAATGTGAAAAACGATGTAGTTCCTGTTGCTAAATTACAGAGAAATTGTTTTATTTTATCTATTTTGGGACACGCTTCTTTATCATTCTTTTAATGAATTCTCGAGAAATGCAATAAAAAAGTTTTGCATATATTCTTAATGAGTTGCTATTCATATACGATCTTTAATTGTATATCATCAAAGTCTGTCATGGTTGGTGATAGTCTCTGACTAGTTTTCCAATGGCTGACCAACAATGGATCATCTAATCAATAACATGCTAACTACGTTGCGATCTACACTTGCTCTTATGGTCAGTTAGTATGTATCAGAAGTTTAATCAATTGAGCACAAGAACTCTGCGTCAAGCCAGCCTTTTGTCCACAACTACAGCTGGTTATAATTGTAGGATAGATATAGGGCTATTGAACCTACCGCTAGGCAATATCTCATACTACTAGGTAGTCAAAAAGCAAAAGAAGTTCCGAATCTGCACTCTTATATTTCAGCGTTCTTTTTACATCGTGTTTCACAAAAGAAATTTTTTATTTGTAAGTTATTAAACCAACCTGTTGTTGGTGTTGCGGATAAAAGAATACGTTGAAAATGTTTTTCATTATCAAGATGTTTAGTTATCGTTTGAATGATTTTTTTGATTGCATCAGCAAAGCCCATATCAAGCATTCTAAATTTTTGATGATTAAGAAACAAAATAGAAAAGAAAAATTTCTACTTGTCAGCTTCATCAAATATTAAAAATTGAATGTTTTTAAATGATAGCGATTGTGTATTATCAATATGATCACATAAACGTCCAGGTGTTGATATAAGAATATTTAAACCACGACGAAGTCTATAGAAAAAAATTAATTCATTCAAGTTTACTAAAAAAAAAGAACTTTATTTTACCGTTTCTTTTCATGATTTCGATTTGAACCACCAACAAGTGGTGAACAAACAATACGAACAAATGATGTTAATAATTTTTGAAAAACTTCATAAGTTTGTTGCACAAGCTAAAGAAGAATAATTTAAATTAGAAAGAAAATAAATAAACTAAAATTTTTCGTTTTGCTTTACTTCTTTAGTTGGAACAAGTACAATAGCAATTGGACCTGTTTCACGTCGTACGAATGGTTCAATCATTTGTAT